CATGAACTAAAGCATTGGTTTGAAACAGATGTGGCGCATGCATTGTTTCAACATATATGAAACATAAGGGACTATACCGACTTGTCCTTGGGTTATCTTCGATCGATCATGACCGTAAATGTTTATCCCTTCCCTTTTTGTCATGAAGCTGGAGAAAGCCGAGACTGACAATGCTCTTATCCGTCAGAAGGTTAAGGAAGAAGTCTTAGCCGTGTTCAGTGCCTCCTATCTTCGAGCTCCTGAGACCTAACTTATGGTTCCAATAAAAAGTAATCTTCTAGTACAGATTATAAACGACTCAACTTTTGAGCATATGAGGTGCACTATTGTTTAGAGATTTTTTTTGGCATCTACTTTTGATCATTTGCGGTACAGTCTTACACACATAAAATTCACTTTTTGCAAAGAGTAAAAATGTTGATTTATTTCCACAAATGTCACCACATTTTTATCCATATTAATGCATTTAAAGTCATTAGATCTTAATTTCGATGCACTAGATTCAGTCTTACTATTAATGAGAAGAGAGGACATTTTATTTGATCCAATACATATGCATGTGTATACACCTTGTATAGTTTTTTCCCTTTTAGTTGATTTATCTTTCCTTAGTTTCATGTTGCCGTTATAGGAATCTTATACATACTCTATATTTGAATCAAATGTATATGACGCTAACCCCTCTCAATGTTATTGAGAGAAGTTCTATTTTATACGGAGTAATACAAAAAATAATGATCTTATTGAGCAGTTCTTAAATTTGAGGGATTATGAATTAATTTGAGCCACTTATCAGAAAGCATTACTATGATTTCTTAATTATTGTGATAATAATTTACTATCTCTATTATGTTTAAAGGTTCTTATTGAAAAATGACATTATTATTTAAGGGGGTTTTCCAAAAAATAATACTAAAACAAACCTCATTGTCAAAAATAGGCTACTTTCAAAAAGTTCAAAAATGAGACTAAGCTTGTCTCAATGACAATTACCAAAACGCACCAATGACCATTCGACCATGACCAACTCAATCGTGACCAGCCCGACAGTGACCAATCTGATCGTGACCAACCCAATCGTGACCAATCCGACTGTGACCACCAAATTGTGACCAATCCAATCGTGACCAATCTGACCATGACCAATTCGGCCGTTGACCAATCTGACCATGACCACCGCCACCCCTGACCACTACACAATCTCGTGACAACTACCCCTACCCCAGCCCCCTCCCCTGCACCAACCCCATTGCACCAGGCCCTTTCCCTGCACCAGACACCTCCCCTTTACGAGCCCCCTCCCTTGCACCGGCCCCTCCCCTGCTTCAGCCCCAGTCTACATGTAACACCGCCCCCAAGTATTTGTACTTTATCAAATTAAGTATTGAACCCGAGAAATGAATAAACGTATTTTACGCGATTGTGAATTTTTATCATTTCTTTTACGTGAATAGTAAAATTCATGTGGGGCCCACACCGGAAGTGGGGGCCGTCCGATATTGCCGGGACCACATATTATATTCGTTTGGGTCAAGATAATATGTGTATAATGTTGGATGTCCTTGTTGGGCCATAGAACCTTTGTGAGCAACCAGTTGTGCATGTGAAGCCCATTTATCGGTACCGAGGTAATATCAGATAAAAAGCCATAATAAATTATGGAGACCATCAAATTAAAAGTTGGGAATATACATTCATTCTTATAGCCAATATTAATTGGAAGAGTGATAGATATTTCATTTTACCCGATAAAATGAAATATAGTTAAAACAGTCCGGAAAATACAACTTTCGGGACCAAGTGTACACTTGGGGACACAAAGGGATGACCACCCATCTAAGTGGGGGCCATCCCCACGTTTTTAGTCTACAAATGACAAGGGGGATCCGCACAAGGAAATGGGAGAGGGGGCATGAATGGATTGGGATCAAAATAATAAAATAAATGGGACCCCTCCCATGTTATTATTGGGAGAAATGCCAAAAAGGCATTCTCTATCATCCTCACTCATTGAAGCTCGGCCATACCATCATCTTTGGGAAGAGAAGCTCTGAAAATACTCCATAGCATCCACCATTCACGCACCAAGAGCAAGGGAGGAAGAAGGAAGGAAGAAAGGGAAGAGAAAAGAGGAGTTTAGGTGGGAAAACTTGGAGTTAATAAGGTAATGACTTCATTAATCCCATTTCTTCTCTTTAATCATATTTCATACTCCTAGGATAGTTCTACACATTTAAAAGTGTAGAATAGGAGTGGGAGGGTTGGTTTATACCCAAGACGGACTTTGAGAGCAAAGTTGACGGGTTCATCGGAAAATAACCTTTTGGAGGTTATTTGTATTGATATGGGTTTTATGATGATAAAACCTTGTTAATAACTTGTATAAAGTGTTTCAAGAACTTTCACGGAGTTGAAAGGGTCGCCGGAGTTGTCGCCGGAGTTCATTGAAGTTCACCAGAGTTTCACCGGAGCTGAATCGGGAAGGGCTAGAACTCCATAAGCTTCATTAAGGTGAGAAGACGGCTATATGCTTTATAACTTTTGATTGAGGCATGAGATTACCTAAAGTAATCAAAAATATGTTTTATGGAATGATTAAAGTTAATCAAGTATTGGCTTATGCCATGATTATATACAAAACATAGTTGAAAAGCATGTTTTGTATGTTTGGTGATTAAAAATGTGATAACTTATTATGTACAATGCTCCAGGGATCCAAAATGGTATTTTTGGATCAAGGACGACAAGGAGTACATGCGTATAAAATTTCGCGTTAATCGGACTTCGTTTGGGCGGTCAAACGGGCGTTGACCGCCGAGACAAAGGTGATACCCGACCGGGTATTGGTATATACCCGACCGGGTATTGGTTAGAAATGGCTCCAGAAGCCGCTGTCTTACTAGACCCGACCGGGTAAGGGTATGGACCCGACCGGGTCTCAGGTAAGATCAGTTCCAAGGGCTTCTGCCCCGACCAACCCGACCGGGTAAGATTGGATACCCGACCGGGTATTGGACTAGGCCCAAAACAGGCAGTTTTGAGCAGGTTAACGTGGGTCGTTCAAGTGGGACCCGCCCACGTTGGTTACTAGGGATTATTATATGACTATAGGACTAGGTATTGTCCATAGTTAAGTGAATGGAAGGTTAGCCATATCCAGGTTAGGGTTTGGTTAGAAATAAGATTGAGGTTGAGTATCCTCGGGACGGTAAACGATCCCAAAACTCGGTGACGTTGAGTATCCTCAGGACGGTAAACAATCCTAAAACTCGGTGAGGTTGAGTATCCTCAGGACGGTAAACAAATCCTAAAACTCGGTGAGGTTGAGTATCCTCAGGACGGTAAACAATCCTAAAACTCGGTTGAGGTTGAGCATCCTCGGGACGGCAAATGATCCAAAAACTCGGTGGGGTTGAGTATCCCCGGGAGGGTAAACACTCCTGAAACTCGGTAGGATATTATGAAGGTAGAATGTAGCTCGTGAGCTAGGCATTCGGGAATGAATGGGAAAGGTTGGGTAATCGCCTTACCTCTAAAAGACTCTTTGTGATAAAACGACCCACGGGTTAAGTATTTTACAAGAATATACGGTATGTATTATCTTGGGAATGGGGTAACAATGGTTATACCTATAAATATATGTATCATCCTATTTTTGGGTCTCGTGTCTGAAACATTAGTTATTCCTCATATAGCCTGCTTGTCACTAGTACTTTCTATGGAGTACTGACCCCTTCGGGGGCCCTCACATTTTTCAGGTTAAGGCTTGAGACCTATTCCTGCACCTTTGCCTAGGATGATCATCAAATAAGGAAGACGTGGTCCGTGCTTCCATTCTTATTTGAAATTATGAAATTGCTCATGGATATTTGAACGATGTTTCTATTAAACTATTGAAGGGCCTGCGTGCTCATGTTTGCCACGTGTGGCTAAATGTCAAACATATTTTATTTCCGCATTTGATTGACTAATGTATATTGATGTTGATTGTATGGGTTTACTAATCGGTTTGGCAATAGAATCTATCGGACGCCTTGTATAATTTAATAAGAATGAACTACGTTGTTCTTATTGGGTTGTACGGCGGTTGTCTACGTGGCACGGATGCGGTCCGGTGCGTGACAATTAAGTGGTATCAGAGCCATCGATTTCTAAACTATATAATCAACCTCTCAATATAGAATCATCAAAAAGTTTTGAACAAAACCATGAGCAAAAGTTTTTGTACCTAAGGAACCGTTGGAAACCAAGTTATTGACCTCTTATTGTTAAGACGGTACCCTTAACAGTTTGTTGGCCATAATGTTGGACCAAGTGGTGTCTTTTGTACTATTCCGTCAATCGACATTGATACGAGTCTAACGGCTCATTCCAAATTTCTTTCAGAAATGGAGGGTAGACGCATGGGTACGAGGAACAACCCGAGAGGGCAAACTCCGGTGACGTCCGAAGGGGCTAGCCAGGTTGCATCTCGGGGCTCGAGAGGCGGTAGGAGAGGCTGTGGAGGCCGTGGAGGCCGTGGAGGTCATCGGGCTCAAACCGTGAGCGATGGCCATGTTAGCTCGGTGCACGGAACTCACACTGAGGATTACGACTCTACATATGTTCCCGAGACGGAACATGAGGAAACCCCATACGATGGGGGTGATATGTACACTGATGATGACAACGATGAGAGTGATGCCAAATTCGCCCAGATGGGTGAACTGTTTGAGTGGTATCAAAAGGAGAAGTTGAGGAGAGATCTTAGGCGCCAAGCTAGGCGTGCCTCTCAGGGGGCTTCAGGTCACGGAAGCCAGGGAGCATCAGTGGCTACACCTGTGGTGTCACAGGGAATGCATGGAGGAGGTTTTTGTGTAAGAATCTCCAAATACCTCAAGGAGGCTAGGGCCTTGGGGTGCAAGTCCTTTGATGGCAAGGGTGATATATCGGTGGCTGCCGATTGGATAAAGAAGCTAAATGAGGCTGCTAGAGATATGCAGATCGGGCTTGACATAAAGCTAACAATAGCTACCAGGCTACTGGAGGGAGTAGCTGCTGTATGGTGGGAGGGCGTGGAAGGAAAGTTCCACGGTGAGACCACCTGGGAGAAATTTGAAGTAGAATTCTACAATCAGTACTACTCAGAGTTCGAAAAGAACCAGAAGAGGAAGGAGTACATGACCCTGGTACAGGAGGAGGATTGCTCGGTTAGGCAACTGGAACAAAGGTTCCGGGACTTGGCACGGTACATACCCGAGTACGCCATGGATGAGAACCGTATGGCTAATCACTTCTGGGATACCCTACACTTGGATATCCGTGATCGGGCTACCTACAATCATCACATGACCTTTAGTGAGATTGTGGATCAGGGGCTACTTGGGGAAGCCAAGTGGAATGAAAGGAAGAAGAGAGACGCCGAAGAGGCGAAGAAGAGGAGATGGGGGAATTCTGGACCCCAAGACCATTCTCGAAAACATCACGCCGGGAATGGAAGATCATTCAGGGCGCCGGAACCACCGGCAAAAAAGAGTAAGGGCCTAGGAGGGCAAGGGCACAGCTCGGGGAGCGTGAGGCCACCAAGGTGTCCAAACTGTAACAGGAATCACTCCGGGAAGTGCAATGAACCACCCCGGTGCTACAAGTGTGGTAGCACAAGCCACCTCAAACTCTCTTGCCCAATGTTGAGTGGAGGTGGGCCATCGGGAGCTGTTGAGGCACCTACGTCTGGTAGGGGTCGTGCGGGACCATCTCAGGGCGGCACGGGAAGGGGCGGACCCACGGCTAGTAACGCCGCGTCCGTTAACCAAGGGAGGACCCAGGCACGGGTGTACGCAATGACCGAGGCGGACGCTCGGGCCAACCCGGACTCCGTTGCAGGTAATGTACTAAAATTTTACATATTTTTAGGCCTACACTGGAGTTATAAGTCCTAGGGGACAAATGCACACAGACTTGGGGGTCGAATTGGGAAAATTCAACGAAACCAGGCCAATACCCGACCGGATAAGGCATGTCACCCGACCGGGTATGGGGAGATTTTTGGGCCTGGTAAACCCACTGGAATGGGTACCCGACCGGGTATCCCAGGTTACCCGACCGGGTATGGTGGAATTTTATACCCGCTGGAGCAACCAGGTCGGATAAGGAAACAGGATGGCTTCTGGAATGGATACCCGACCGGGTACAACAGTTTACCCGACCGGGTATGCCAAATTCCCTTTGTTCTGGATTGGATACCCGCCCGGGTACAAAGGTGTACCCGACCGGGTATTGCTATATGTTTCAAGCACATTGTTCCAGGGGCTTACAGTCTAATTTTGGTAGGGAAAGTACCTCACATGACTTATAAATGTAGGAACATTAAAGGTTAACGGAAGGGAGGCGAGAGTCCTTATCGATACGGGAGCACAACGTTCATTCGTTAGTGAGGTGTTTGCCGTGGGACTAGGCACACCTTTAATACCAATGACGCAAACCCTTTTGGTATCTACGCCTCTAGGGGATGACGTTGAACGAAATGACTACTATCCTTCATGTGATGTGAAGATAGGGGAGCACTGTCTAAAAGGTGACTTCGTACCGTTAGCCATGCTTGAGTTTGATGCCATACTTGGCATGGACTGGCTTGAAAGGCACCATGCAAAGGTTGATTGCTACACCAAAGTGTTAGAACTCAAGGATGATGAAGGAAATATTGTATGTTTCGAGGGAGATAGAGGAAGATTTAATCCTTGCATCATATCGGCCATAAGAGCAAGGCGTATGATGAGGAAGGGATGTCAAGCTTACTTAGCCTATGTCATAGGCAAGGAAGGCAAGGGGAAGAGTCTCACAGAAGTGAGGGTGGTGAGCGAGTATCCGGAGGTGTTCCCTGAAGAACTACCGGGACTACCACCCGATCGGGAGATCGAGTTCGAGATCGAGGTTGAACCAGGCACCAAACCCATCTCAATTCCTCCGTATCGAATGGCGCCGGCTGAACTTCAAGAGTTGAAAGTTCAATTGGAAGAGTTACTAGATAATGGGTTCATTAGACCGAGTCATTCACCATGGGGAGCACCCGTACTCTTTGTAAAGAAGAAGGATGGTACAATGAGAATGTGTATCGACTACCGTCAATTGAACAAGGTCACGGTAAAGAACAAATACCCTTTGCCAAGGATTGACGACTTGTTTGACCAATTACGGGGGGCAACCGTATTCTCCAAGATCGACTTGAGGTGGGGCTACCATCAACTGAAGATCAAGGAAAGTGACATACCCAAGAGTGCATTCCGTACAAGGTATGGTCACTATGAGTTCCTAGTGATGTCGTTCGGGCTTACAAATGCCCCCGCGGCATTCATGGACCTCATGAACCGAGTATTTCATCAATACTTGGACCAATTCGTCATAGTGTTCATTGATGACATTTTGATATACTCCAAGAACGAAGAAGAACACGAGAAACATCTAAGGCTCGTACTTGGAGCACTGCGGGAGAAGCAACTCTTTGCCAAATTCTCTAAGTGTGAATTTTGGCTTGGGGAAATCGGTTTTCTGGAGCACGTGGTATCAGGTTCGGGCATTTCAGTTGACAACTCGAAGATTGAAGCAGTCACTAATTGGGAGAGGCCCAAGAATGTGAAGGAAATAAGGAGTTTCCTTGGTTTAGCGGGGTATTACCGCAAATTTGTGGAAAAGTTTTCGGTGATAGCATCTCCACTCACGAAGCTCACTAAAAAGGGAGCTAAGTTTGTGTGGGATGACAAGTGTGAGAAAGGGTTTCTTGAGCTAAAGAAACGGTTGACGGAAGCACCAGTACTTGCTCTACCCGTGCAAGGGTTGGGGTATGACATTTATAGCGATGCTAGCATCCAGGGGCTTGGGTGCGTACTGATGCAATCGGGGAAGGTAATTGCTTATGCTTCTCGGCAGCTGAGGAAGCATGAAGTGAATTACCCCACACATGACCTTGAGCTAGGAGCTGTGGTGTTTGCCTTGAAGATTTGGAGGCATTACCTCTACGGTGAGGTGTGTCACATTTATACTGATCACAAAAGTTTGAAGTACGTGTTCACTCAGAAAGAGTTGAACATGAGGCAGAGAAGATGGATAGAACTGATCAAGGATTACAACTTGATTATAGATTATCATCCAGGGAAGGCTAACGTGGTAGCCGATGCTCTTAGCAGGAAGAGTTCATCGGGGGTGTTACTCTCATGCTTGCAAGCATTGAGGGCACGCGTGGATATATCCACGAATGGGGCTCTATTGGCCAGATTTGAGGTGAGACCCACCTTATTAGATGAAATCAGGACGCGTCAAGGCAATGACGAGGAAATTCAGAAAATCCGGGAACGGATGCTGGTGGGACCCGTCGAGGGTTTCCGTGAGAGAGAAGATGGACTCCTACTATTCAAGGAGCGGGTGTGTGTGCCATCAGATGAGGAGCTCCGGAAATCTATTCTTGAGGAGGCTCACTCATCTGCGTATGCCATGCACCCAGGTGGAACAAAGATGTACCGGGACTTGAAAGAAAGTTACTGGTGGTCGGGGATGAAGAGAGAGATTGCAGAATATGTGAGCCGTTGCCTTACCTGTCAGCAGGTTAAGGCAGAGCACCAGCACCCGACAGGGTTATTACAGCCACTTACCATCCCAGAATGGAAGTGGGAGCATGTTACTATGGACTTCGTGGTAGGTTTGCCACGGACGGTTAGGAACTTTGATGCGGTATGGGTGGTGGTTGATAGGTTGACCAAGAGTGCCCATTTCCTACCTATCAACACTACTTATACGCTTGAGCGACTGGCCAAGTTGTATACAGATGAGATCGTGAGACTGCATGGGGTTCCGGTCACTATAGTGTCGGATAGAGACCCACGGTTCACGTCACGGTTTTGGCCTAAGTTCCAGGAATCCATGAGAACGAAGTTGAGGTTCAGCACGGCTTTCCACCCTCAAATGGATGGGCAGTCTGAACGGGTGATTCAGATTTTGGAGGACATGTTGAGGGCATGTGCCTTAGAGTTCCAAGGAAGTTGGGACAACCAGTTGGCTTTGGTGGAATTTGCTTACAACAACAGTTATCAAGCAAGTATAGGCATGCCTCCATACGAGGCATTGTATGGGAGGAAATGCCGGACACCTTTGTGTTGGGATGAGGTAGGCGAGGCTAAGCTTGAGGGCATCGAGCTAGTCGAAATCACCAATGAGAAGGTGAGGGTTATTCAGGATAGACTCAAGGCTGCCCAAGATCGGCAGAAGAGCTATGCAGATAAACGACGAAGGACGTTAGAGTTTGAGGTCGGCGATGAGGTATTTTTGAGGGTGTCACCTTGGAAAGGGATCATCAGGTTCCTCAGTCGGGGTAAGCTTAACCCACGCTACATAGGCCCATTCAAAATCATTGAAAGAATTGGGGTTGTAGCGTACCGGCTTCAGTTAACTCCGGAATTAGAAAAGATTCATAATGTATTTCATGTTTCTATGCTCAAGAAGTATGTACGGGACCCGTCACATATTCTTGAGAAACCACCGGTAGAAATCCGGGAAGACCTTCACTATGCGGTACAGCCGGTAAAGATCATGGACCGACAGGTAAAGAAGCTAAGGAGTAAAGAGGTACCGATGGTGAAGGTGCTTTGGAAAAGTGATCGTGTCGAGGAGCAAACTTTGGAAGTGGAGACCCTGATGAGGGAACAGTATCCATTTCTGTTTGACTAGACACGTGGATTTCGGGGACGAAATCCCAAATAAGGGGGGTAGAACTTGTAACACCGCCCCCAAGTATTTGTACTTTATCAAATTAAGTATTGAACCCGAGAAATGAATAAACGCATTTTACGCGATTGTGAATTTTTATCATTTCTTTTACGTGAATAGTAAAATTCATGTGGGGCCCACACCGGAAGTGGGGGCCGTCCGATATTTCCGGGACCACATATTATATTCGTTTGGGTCAAGATAATATGTGTATAATGGTGGATGTCCTTGTTGGGCCATAGAACCTTTGTGAGCAACCAGTTGTGCATGTGAAGCCCATTTATCGGTACCGAGGTAATATCAGATAAAAAGCCATAATAAATTATGGAGACCATCAAATTAAAAGTTGGGAATATACATTCATTCTTATAGCCAATATTAATTGGAAGAGTGATAGATATTTCATTTTACCCGATAAAATGAAATATAGTTAAAACAGTACGGAAAATACAACTTTCGGGACCAAGTGTACACTTGGGGACACAAAGGGATGACCACCCATCTAAGTGGGGGCCATCCCCACGTTTTTAGTCTACAAATGACAAGGGGGATCCGCACAAGGAAATGGGAGAGGGGGCATGAATGGATTGGGATCAAAATAATAAAATAAATGGGACCCCTCCCATGTTATTATTGGGAGAAATGCCAAAAAGGCATTCTCTATCATCCTCACTCATTGAAGCTCGGCCATACCATCATCTTTGGGAAGAGAAGCTCTGAAAATACTCCATAGCATCCACCATTCACGCACCAAGAGCAAGGGAGGAAGAAGGAAGGAAGAAAGGGAAGAGAAAAGAGGAGTTTAGGTGGGAAAACTTGGGGTTAATAAGGTAATGACTTCATTAATCCCATTTCTTCTCTTTAATCATATTTCATACTCCTAGGATAGTTCTACACATTTAAAAGTGTAGAATAGGAGTGGGAGGGTTGGTTTATACCCAAGACGGACTTTGAGAGCAAAGTTGACGGGTTCATCGGAAAATAACCTTTTGGAGGTTATTTGTATTGATATGGGTTTTATGATGATAAAACCTTGTTAATAACTTGTATAAAGTGTTTCAAGAACTTTCACGGAGTTGAAAGGGTCGCCGGAGTTGTCGCCGGAGTTCATTGAAGTTCACCGGAGTTTCACCGGAGCTCAATCGGGAAGGGCTAGAACTCCATAAGCTTCATTAAGGTGAGAAGACGGCTATATGCTTTATAACTTTTGATTGAGGCATGAGATTACCTAAAGTAATCAAGAATATGTTTTATGGAATGATTAAAGTTAATCAAGTATTGGCTTATGCCATGATTATATACAAAACATAGTTGAAAAGTATGTTTTGTATGTTTGGTGATTAAAAATGTGATAACTTATTATGTACAATGCTCCAGGGATCCAAAATGGTATTTTTGGATCAAGGACGACAAGGAGTACATGCGTATAAAATTTCGCGTTAATCGGACTTCGTTTGGGCGGTCAAACGGGCGTTGACCGCCGAGACAAAGGTGATACCCGACCGGGTATTGGTATATACCCGACCGGGTATTGGTTAGAAATGGCTCCAGAAGCCACTGTCTTACTAGACCCGACCGGGTAAGGGTATGGACCCGACCGGGTCTCAGGTAAGATCAGTTCCAGGGGCTTCTGCCCCGACCAACCCGACCGGGTAAGGTTGGATACCCGACCGGGTATTGGACTAGGCCCAAAACAGGCAGTTTTGAGCAAGTTAACGTGGGTCGTTCAAGTGGGACCCGCCCACGTTGGTTACTAGGGATTATTATATGACTATAGGACTAGGTATTGTCCATAGTTAAGTGAATGAAAGGTTAGCCATATCCAGGTTAGGGTTTGGTTAGAAATAAGATTGAGGTTGAGTATCCTCGGGACGGTAAACGATCCCAAAACTCGGTGACGTTGAGTATCCTCAGGACGGTAAACAATCCTAAAACTCGGTGAGGTTGAGTATCCTCAGGACGGTAAACAAATCCTAAAACTCGGTGAGGTTGAGTATCCTCAGGACGGTAAACAATCCTAAAACTCGGTTGAGGTTGAGCATCCTCGGGACGGCAAATGATCCAAAAACTCGGTGGGGTTGAGTATCCCCGGGAGGGTAAACACTCCTGAAACTCGGTAGGATATTATGAAGGTAGAATGTAGCTCGTGAGCTAGGCATTCGGGAATGAATGGGAAAGGTTGGGTAATCGCCTTACCTCTAAAAGACTCTTTGTGATAAAACGACCCACGGGTTAAGTATTTTACAAGAATATACGGTATGTATTATCTTGGGAATGGGGTAACAATGGTTATACCTATAAATATATGTATCATCCTATTTTTGGGTCTCGTGTCTGAAACATTAGTTATTCCTCATATAGCCTGCTTGTCACTAGTACTTTCTATGGAGTACTGACCCCTTCGGGGGCCCTCACATTTTTCAGGTTAAGGCTTGAGACCTATTCCTGCACCTTTGCCTAGGATGATCATCAAATAAGGAAGACGTGGTCCGTGCTTCCATTCTTATTTGAAATTATGAAATTGCTCATGGATATTTGAACGATGTTTCTATTAAACTATTGAAGGGCCTGCGTGCTCATGTTTGCCACGTGTGGCTAAATGTCAAACATATTTTATTTCCGCATTTGATTGACTAATGTATATTGATGTTGATTGTATGGGTTTACTAATCGGTTTGGCAATAGAATCTATCGGACGCCTTGTATAATTTAATAAGAATGAACTACGTTGTTCTTATTGGGTTGTACGGCGGTTGTCTACGTGGCACGGATGCGGTCCGGGGCGTGACACTACAAGCCCCAACACCCCTATGATGGGTGGCCATCGGGATGCTCCAGACCTTGCAAGACGAAGAAGATGACAGATCTTTGTTGTTCCAGAAAAGAAACAAGAAGATGATAGATCTACACTTGATCTGCGACGGAGGAGGTGCAGTTACTCGGAGACAACGGAGTTGCAATTGCTCGGCGATGGAGACGGAAGCCTAATATGTGCGACAGAGAAGACAACCTAAAATGGGCGACGTAGAAGACAGCTTGAAACGGGCGACGAAGACGATTTCCTTTGGCACGAACGTTTCCTTTGGTGTGAAGCAAAGGTCTCCTGTGGAGGCGATGCCGCGATGGAGCAATTCGGTCTCTTTTTTGTCCTTTCCATATGTGGTCCCATTTTTGTCCCGTCAAAAGTCCCAAGTCTTATTTTTGACATTATTTCATTATTTAAACAATAATCAAATAATATAATTCAACCATATTTTGAGAAATAGTGTTGATGGGTATATAATATAATGAGATCATTGATTATAACTGAGATGTTACAAATACGTATTCTTAATATTTGGTGATTAGATTGTCATTTAAGAGTGTTAACTGTTTCTCAAAATAGAAACGAAAACCTTTATATGAAATGTTCAGAAAAGGAAAATGAGAACCTTAGAATGGATATGGAGAGATAATAACTACCTCATCATATTCAACTAGAAGATGTAATTCACTACTCCCGTATTTTTTTGTTTGATATAATAGGTGTTGACACATTTAAAGAGTAAAATAGTAGGGGTGATGAATAGTGTAGAAAAAGTAGGAGAGATGGTGGAAAAGTATGAAAAAGAAGATAAAAAGTAGAAAAAGTGGGGGTAATTGAGTATTTTTAAAGGAAAAACATACCAAAAAGGGAAAATGTGGCAAATTTTTTAATACACCCAAAAAAGAAAAGTGTAGTAAAGAAAAAAATACAGAGGGAGTATTTTATAACAATGATGTTTTTTTTCTTTTTACGAGGATTAATAAAAAGATGGCTTAGCTAACAACGAAGATCAGTACTCTAAAATTTCATTTTCATAAATACCCCACAGAATTTGCCTTCCTAAACAATATTTCCACAAACTTTTGCCTGACTATTTCATTTAGTCGTTTCACTAGTTGCATCTCTCTTGTTAAAATGTTTTTTATATTCTCATCATTTAATATCCACATCATTTGGTTGACGAAGAAAAAGAAATCAAGACGTCTTTCCCCTCACCTTTTCTTTGGAAAAAAAGAAAAATAGAGAGAAGACAACCCCATCTCCTCCTGCAGTCCTACAAGGCAACAATGCTTTGTACTACATGCGGGGCGGAGTAAGTAGTTGTCATAATGGGTTGGTTATTATGATGGTGGTTTGGGGGCCTTGCTCTGTGGGGGGGCAGCAGTGGAGAGCAAAGTGCGTAAGCGGCTGGCAATCTCTGTGAAAGAAGGTCTGGAAGACGGGTTTGGAGCCCAACACTGCTCCATCAACTTTCTCCACTCTGGATCGCACTGATTTGGAATGCTCGGTCTCAACGTATTGCTCACAATCCCCCCTGCACGCACACTCAGTCAATTCAGTAAACAGAAAGAAATATGCTTTCTCTATTACTCTAGTTCAATTCTTCATAAACAAAACAAGACAAACTAGTGAGAGTGCAAAGCAAACAACACACCTATTATTGCACCGTAATGCATGTTGGCATAAGGTTCTTCCCCCGTAAGAATCTCCCATAGCACAATCCCAAAGGAGAACACATCAACCTGTTTCCGCAACAATCAGTTTAAGAATATCAGCCTCACCCTCAGCCTAATTATCGTTATTAACTTATTACACTACTACTACTACTACTAGTCTTCTTCTTCTTCTTCTTCTACTACTACTACTACTACTATATACTCCCTCCGTCCCACTTTAAGGTTCCCACACGATTTACGATGTTTGACTAACCATAAAGTTAATTGATCCCTGTCATTAATAGAATTATTTTTAGTAAATAAAATTTACATATTCAGAAACTACATTAAACCCGCTACAAAACCTGCAAAAAATAATTTAAATTTCATAAACTTTAGATATAAAAAGTAAAAGATTAAGAACAATGCACGTTGACCGGAGAATAGTGTACGGGAACCTTTAAATGGGACGGAGGGAGTATTATTATCATTATCATGCGCATGAAAACGAAACTTGTGGACTGTATGGACCAGAAAACCAAAAACAGTCTAACCGTTGCAACTTACTTTCTCAGAAACTTTGTTGCTGCTACCATTCAACAGTTCAGGAGCCATCCACGGGAGCGTCCCCCTAACTCCCCCAGACACCAACGTGTTCCGTTTAATCTTTGACAAACCAAAATCACCCACCTAGTGTAACATATACCAACATGAGTATAATTTGAAAATATGGTTTTAAAAAGATATCTATCAGACTTGACCCTGTCTTCAAGATAAAGGGGTAAACAAAAAAACAATTGATCTTAAAGAAAATCAGAGGTAATTGGTGTCCAAATCATCAAATTGACCTTGCATATCGGCCGTGAAGGATCCTTCAAATTAACCAGCAAGTTGTCACATTTCAGATCAAAATGTACAATGTTTTTTGAATGCAGGTATTCCATCCCGAATGCTGCATCCATGGCTATTATGATCCGCTTCCGCCTGTCAAGATGCCTGCAGCAGGCAAATGCAATAATAACAGGGAAGAAAGTCAACATGAGTTAAATGAATGTAAAGTGAAAAGCACTAAAAAAAGTAACAATAATGCACATCTCTATCCAAATCCAGGCTTGCAATGTGAGCTTTTGTTGCTTTGGAGGTCATGCGATTGTACCTATCTTTGCGAATTAGGACATGCCTTAGAGAACCATCCACCATGTACTCAGTTACAGTAGCAAGAGTTCCACCTATTCCATCTTGAACTACACCATAAAATGCCACCACATTTGGGTGATGAAGCTTTGAAAGAATATCAGCTTCCCTCCAGAACTCCAGAGTCTGGTGTAAGCAAGAAAGTATTATGAATGGAGCTTTAAAATGATAATATTTATAAATTATAATAATAATATTCATAATAATAATATAATATTATTATTATTATTATTATTAAAGAGCTTAAGCAAACGTTGTAGAATAAGTGACTGAACATGAGAAAGATCTTAAAGAAAGAGATAAATGTGGATCTACCCCCCTTTTAAATTGTTTCCATCTGATGCAAACTACACATTTGAAACATGTTTGTTCTAAATGATGCATAGAAGGAGAAGAAGGTAGGGGTGGGGGTATCGTGAGTCAAAGAATGATCACCAATCTCTCTTGCTCTGATGATCGCACAGTAAAGCAACTTTTTTTTATTCGTTTAATTGCTACATCACTCCCCCTCCATTTTCCATGGTACACGGTCCCAAATGTGCCAGAACCAAGTTCCTTCATTTCCTCAAGATCTTCATTTCTGATTATCTGTACTCCAAAAAGGATGTGAAACAAATATTTTAATATAACAAATACACAAGTGAAATATCCTTTCTCTTGCATCAAAAGGACAAAGTGTATAAGCATTCAGAATTTTAGGACATTTGAATGATCAGGGTAGTCAATGGCACTAATGACGATCTTCATTTGTTGTCATTGGTGTTTTAAGAGTCCATCACCACAAACCATGACCAGAAAACTTATGGCGGCACCACTTCAGTGCCATAGCCATCGCCTGGGTCACTTGGGCCATATTAGACGGTTGCATAATTTAAGACAGTTTTTTTCAAGTAAATAGGGCCATATTAATTAGGATTGGTAAGTTATGACTCAGGCCACACACCACAATATAGATTTTTAAAACCCTAATAGGCTATTATCACCCAACTGAGCCATATTATAAGCAATGAAGGCTTAAGAAAGAACCAGCGACTAATAACGAAAGAACAACTATGGTGCATAAGGAAGAAGAAAGCTGAGAGGTGCATCAACAAGAGACCACCAAGATACCACCACTTTAAAGTTGGTTAAGTGTGTTTAATTAAGATCATTTTGGTACTATTATGACTTGCTTATGTGTTTTATTTGGGTTTGGTTATTTAACTATTTTAATGGTGATTAAACTATATAACTAAATTGTGTAAAGTTTATCTTTATACTTATAATTTGTTTGTGTTGTGGCGATGCCATAAATGCACCATCGCCATGGCAGACTATTACAGGCAGCTTGTGTGCAAGATCTAGTCACAGGCCTTCGGGCGAGTGAGATGGTAAATTGATGCTTAGTAGGTTTGGCTATGTTTATTGTTTCAACACAATAAGTTGGACTCTTTATTGAGAATTCCACACTCCCTAAGACTTTTCTTACTCAAAACTTGCAAACTTTCTCCTCTATTCAACTGTCCCTTAGATAGGCTTTAAAGAGTTCGGGAAATAAAATAAAGAAAGCATCTAAAGAAAAGAAAACAATACTTCAGAAATTGCAATCAGGAAATATTATCTAAGATCTCCAACACATCCTTGATTGACTTGTCTAGGAAATAATATCTAGGATCTCCAAAGATTCTCCAATCCGTGATTTATTTGGCTTCTAAATTTGTGAGATTTGTATGTGTAGGTTGCTGTTTTTTTACTTTAAGAAATTGCCTAAAATAGGAGTAAAACATAAATAGGAGTTCATGTTTTAATTTCCCTAAATAGGAGTAATAAATTGTATATGGACAAAAATACCCTTCTATTTAGTGTTTAGGTTTAGATTCTAGGGTTAAGGTTTAGGGTGGTGGCTGCCGGCGACAGCGGCAGTCGGGTGACCATCGATAGTAGCTTCAAACCCTACAAGGGTGTTTTGTCCAATCACAAATTATTACTCCTTTTTTTGCATTTTAGGTATGTTTTACTCCTATTGTGGGAATTTTCTCCGGCATGAAAACTATGTTGATGATTAATGTTTGTTGATCAATAGTATAGAAAAATAGCAGATATTCCTACCAATGGCACTAGTTTTAGAGTTATGCATCCCTGATCTGTCAATTTTTTAGCACCAGAACTTAAGGGGCACAACTTTGCTCATATTTCAGTGTCTGAGCTTAAGGAATAAAGACAAAGCCAGAAAACAATAGCTTAATTCCTGAGTAAAGTAAAGAACCAGAAAAATAGAATATTAATCTGCATTAAATAAAGAAAGAGTTCTTACCTGCAAAGAACTTAGGTCAACATCCACCAAAGAAGTACCTAAAGGAGGTAGTCCTGTATCTCTAATTCCATCCTTTAAAAATGAAATGCACCAAAATCGCAATCAAAACCAGATCAATATTAATATATTATTAGATATTAATATATTATTATAGCTACATTACACCCCCACGGAAAATTTATACCTCATACTCCAGGTTTGGGCCATATCCAGAATGCAACATCCGAGAATTGGGTCCAACAGTACTTGACAATTCTGTCTGATCATCCACACCAACATTAACTTGCTGATCCAAGTGGCTTAAAGAAACTCCTTCATTCACAGATGGCAAAACCCCATAGGCTGAA